TCCAAATATCAGGATAACCGGGTACGCCTGGGCGTGGCTGTGGGTATATCCACGTAGTTCCACTGTGGGACAGGACTTGCAGTGGAAAACTAGACTACAACGGCTCCGCCACGAAATGACGTGAAGTCGCGCACACCGCAACATTCTTCGGGATAAAATACAGTCGCAGAAATTCCAGAAATTCCCCGGGATAAAATACAGTTCCAGAAATTCCCCGGGATAAAATACAGTCGCAAAAAACACAGCCAACCGCCACGAAATGACGTGAAGTCGCGCACACCGCAACATTCCCCGGGATAAATTCAGTCGCAGAAATTCTATAGAATCATACGGATTCAGAATACATTCTATCAATCAGTGATGCTGCGCAGCACAGTTATTGTATAGAAGTAATGTGTGCCATTGGCCCTCGAGTGTATTCATTAATTTTAGGATAAAATTTATCATACGGATTCAGGATAAAATTCTACCAAACAGCGGTGCTGCGGAACATACATCTTGTATGTATGTTGTTACAGGGTGGTTAACTTCGCCAGCGGCCCCCTTTCCCGGGGCAGTCCCTGCTCTCCCCTGCTAGAGGGGCACCCTAATCCGTCACCCCATCCGACTTCAGAATGTATTCGTTGGGTTCGGCAACTCACCACCAGCATCCAACCAAATCTAGCGGATCAACGGCGCATCAACTTAGTTCCTGGTCAGCTCGCAAGTTGATATTATCACGTCCTACACCGTCCATAAGATGGGGGGCCACCTCCCATTTCATCACTCCTCAAACACCCGAGGAGCCGGCAGGCGGATTTGAACCCGGGTCGACTGGGTCGACTGGGAGCAGAAGTCAGGCCTTAACCTCTGCCAGCCGCCTGCATCTTGTATGTATGTTGTTACAGGGTGGTTTTTACAGGGTGGTATTATCACGTCCTACACCGTCCATATGATGGGGGGCCACCTCCCATTTCATCACTCCTCANACACCCGAGGAGCCGGCAGGCGGATTTGAACCCGGGTCGACTGGGTCGAC